GAAACTTAACCAACTGAGCCACCCTTGCGCCCCTGCCAACATCTTGATCTAGAATCTCTAACTCTCAGAACTATGACAAATAATGTTCAGTTGTTTAAGCTACCCAGTTTGTGGTACTTTGTTTACAGTAGCTCTAGCGAACTATTATATTCACTCTAGTGTCCAACTCTAATTGTCAGGCACATTTCCCTTGGTGATTGTAGTCATCTCCTTGTAGTAAAGAAACAGAAATTGAAGGAATGTGAAATGAAACAACAGCAAAAAAGATCAAACTATGGACTATATGGTTAGTATTTTATACAAATACTATATATAACAAATCCCAGAAAGGATTTGTTAGGAAAATAGAGACAGTATGACTGACACCTTATATATTTTTCTTCATCATAACTATTCCCATATCAGTGGGGGAGAGGGGAAATTTGGTTTGGTAAATGGTTGAAAGTTTTGGAGATGCTGGAACAGTAAGAGAAAGTGACAAGAGGAAGGGATAAAGAACTGTGGTAGAAGATAAGTTGATAAAGAGGCAATCTAAAAAAAAAAAAAAAGAGGCAATCTGCAGGTGAAATGGGATGAGCTATAATAACAAATAATCTTCAAGGAATGAGATTTTTGGATCTATGTATTTTTACAAGGTGTTCAGTATAGATACATATTTATTTTCTACCTCATTCTAGAAACTAGGTGTATTTTTTAAGTTTATTTATTTATTTTGAGAGAGAAAGAGAATGCAAGCAAGGGAGGGGCAGAGAGAGAGAGGGAAAAAGAGGATCCCAAGCAGGCTCCACACTGTCAGCTCAGAGCCTTACACAGGACTGGAACTCACAAGCTGTGAGATCATGACCTGAGCAAAAATCAAGAGTCAAATACTTAAGCAACTGAGCGACCCAGGCACTCCGTATTTTTAAGTGTCATCAAGAACACAAATAAAGTTTTAGGTAAGAGCATTTGTGAGAGATGGACTAAGCAAGGAGGCAAAAGCTAAAAAGAGGTTGTTTAGTTTGTCCATAGAATTTTCCTATGATTGCACCATCCAGAAGTGAACCCTCGACTAATTTCCTTTCCAGATGGTATCATGGAACAGATCTGTGTATAGTCAGGGCTCCCAGAATTCTGACAAAATTCTTTCTGTCCTTGTGTGTATCCCCAGTGGTTGCTCTTTGCAGTCTAAGAAACAATGGATTCTTCCATTTGAGATAGTATCTTCCCAGGTGTGACACTTGGAAACTCTAATTATATTTTCAATGAATAATGCTGCAGCCTGTGACCTCCTCCTAGAATACCCTACATAGAGCCTCACACAGCAGATATGAATATTAGTGTCAAGTAGATAACAGTTCTTTATCATACTGGTATTTGGGGGAAGGACTAATATCCACCAAAGGAGCTGACAGTGTTAGAACATGTCCTGTATAGTATTATGGGTTTCACAAACAATTCAATTCTCAATGTATCCAAATCTCTGCAATAAAATGTTATAAAGTAGTGGGATGCTCCTCTGGGAACAATACATGTGATATGTCTTACCTAGTATGTACTAAGACAGCCAGGTATATTACATAGATTCTGCCACCACAAATGGTTCAAAGGACTCTTTCATAGAAGGTGACATTTAAACATATCTTAGAGACCATGTACAGCATAATATCTCTTGATCTTATGAATCTCATTCAGTGCTTGAGAGCTCAAGCCCACCGTAGTCATATCAATGAGGGAAGAATTTGTAAAAGGACAAATGTTTGACTCCAAGTAAGAAAGGAAAAGAGATACTCTCACAGCAGAATTCACTTACTAGCTACCAAACTCTGTGGAGCTCTTTCTTCACCAGTGGTGCTAACTAATGTCCCGTCTAATCCCCCCACTGAGCACTCCCTACCTGATCTCCCTGACTGATCCCAACTTGGGTCTGGCAATGAGGAGCCCAGATGAAGCAGGGGAGGGTCCAAGAAATGGGCTAGGGCTCTCTAGTCCATCTGTGGCAAAGAACTCATGCTCTTCATTTGCTGCTGAGGACATGGGCAGTAGAAGTTCCATACAGCTAGAGACATTGGGGCCAGCAGTTTCTGTCTTCCTTGTTTCTAGGAAGTAACGTGGTACCATGCCACCTCATCATCATTCCTGTATTAACTGAAACTTTTTCTTTTTCTTTTTTTTTTTTTTTCCATTTAATAAACATGTATTAAGGGGCACCTGGATGGCTCAGTCGGTTAAGTATCTGACTTCAGCTCAGGTCACGATCTTGCGGTTTGTGAGTCTGAGCCCCGCATTGGGCTCTCTGTTGTCAGCACAGAGTCCTTTTTGGATCCTCTGTCTCCCTCTTTCTCTGCCCCTGCCCCCTTCTCCAAAGAAAACATTAAAAATAAATTAAAATTAAAATTAAATTTAAAAACATGTGCTAAGTGCTTGAGCTAGGCCAGGCAGCATGAGTATGGTTTCAAGAAGCTTTCCAATCATCAACGTTAAGATCTTTAACACACATTTATTTGTTTTACACTTATAGGTATTGGAGATAAAAGTCCTGGCCCATGTTTCGAAAAATCATTAAAAAAGAAAAGTTGTATCTATTATTTACACTGAAATCTCAATAAATTTACCACTCTGATTTACATTTGGATGATATTATTATAATGTTACAATACACATGTTTCAGAGCAGTGGTTCTCAACCTTGGCCCAGATCATCTAGAGAGTTAAAAACACAACAACAACTCGGTGTATTCAGCCCTACCTCAATGAATTGTATCAGAATGTCTGGCAACAGGGTCTATATCATATTTTTATACTATATATATTTTAAAGACTCTAGTTGATTCTACTCTACAACCAGCACTGAGAACTATTACATTACAACTTCTGCCTTAGGCACTCCGAGTCTAAACAATACCCGGCACATACTAGCCCACCCATAATATATTTTATTCTAATATTTTGTTCACCTTTTTTCCTTACCAGGCTCCCAGCAGACTAACTGGCACAGTTTAGGGACACAACGGTTGGTTACTCCTTTTCACTCTTCCTCTTGCTAGAAAGTTCCTGGAGAAAAGTAAAGCACGGTAGTATTTAGGATTTGAAATGTGCTTGGCAAAATATCCATATTGAGGGAAATTTAAGCTGAAATAAATGACTGTGCTCTTATTCATATGGATATATCAATGTTCATTATCATATATAATTACATGAGATAATATTCAAACAATGATATTTTATCACTGCTAAGAGAAAACGCTGAGAGGCTCATTGGGAAAACTTTTGAATATGTTGATGAAATATGGCACAGAAATATAACACTGCCAGTATTAGACCCGGCTATATTATTTTAGGTTCAGAATGGGCACCTCAGAATAAAGAAATTGAATACACTAAAAGTTAAACAATTTTCTCTCATTTCTAAATATTAGAGTGTAGCTCACTTCAAAAGAATCTGTGTAGCCACTGGCTATTTATTTTCTGACTGGCTCATTTCATTTGGCCTTCTTAATAAACAATTTCTGCTTAGTCACTAAAAGTTTTTAAAATGCTTTTGATCTAATTCTTTTGATGGGGTGGCAGAAAACTTGCTATCAAATGTCCTTTGGCAAAAATCCAGTTTCCAAAGAGGCTAAGAGGGAAAGGAGGTCTTCTAAGCCATTGCCCATGAGGGGAAATTACTTCACTCATTCACTCGGCAAATAGTTGTTGAGTCCTTGTCTGAATGAATGAAGGAAGGACTAGGAATCCTATGATCAGTGAAGGAGTCCTCTGGGGTAATGCTTTCCAGAGAAAATGCTTTCTCATGGAAATGTCTGTGCCTTCCCCAAGTGAAAAATAACATTTTCTTTTTCATGTGAATAGATTTCTTTTATATAGAACTTTATTACGTTAGGGGTTCTCACTGAGGCTTGTAACCCTGCGATGGAGGACAGATGGGTTCTGAGCCAGTAAGTACAGGAGAGAGAGATGGTGAGGGTGGGCAGAAGAAGGAAGAAAATGAGGGCTATTTGAATCTTCTTCTTAGCCTCAGTCGGCTGAAAAACCACAAGTTATGGCTTGGGGTTTTGATGTTAGTTTAACTGATGTTTATTTTACCCCTTAATAAAATAAATGTTCGCTTCCTAAGTCTGCTGTGTAATGTGGTGTCCCTCAAAGATGGTAGAGGGAAACACATGAATATAATATATCTCATATGTCAGGGATCTCTGGCTTTTCCTTGCTACCTGGCTTGGGATATGTCACTGGAGGACCATTTGCAGATAAGCAGTGGCTGAGGTGAGCTTGGGTGGCTTTAGGGCAGCCCTTCTCCAAGTTACTGTGCATACAAATCATCCTGGATCAGGAAAAGTGCAGATTCCAGTTCAGCGGGATTGCAGTTAGGACCCGGGAACCTGCATTGCTAACAAGCCCCCGGCCATGCCAATGTCCACCAAACATACGGAGCGCAGGACGAGCTTAGAGGCCCTCTGGCTGTTGGTAATAAGAGAAAGAGGGGCGCCTGGGTGGCTTAGTCGGTTAAGCGTCCGGCTTTCGCTTAGGTCATGATCTCGCGGTTCGTGGGTTCGAGCCCCGCGTCGGGCTCTGTGCTGACTGCCAGCTCGGAGCCTGGAGCCTGTTTCAGTCTGTGACTCCCTCTCTCTCTGACCCTCCCCTGCTCACGCTGTCTCTCTCTCTCTCTCTCCTAGAAATAAATAAAACAAAAAAAAAAAAAAGAGAAAGAGTTGGTATAAGATCTAAAATCTTTTCTCCTCCAAGAGGCTTTCCCAGACTCCTCAAAACCAAACTGCTTTATTTTCCAGACAAAATCCTCCCTCAGATTACTTGAAACAAAGGTCACATCTGAAATCCTTCATGTGTGTTTCTGGGTATCAAGAGATCTGATGTTTTTGCCAGTAAAAAGCTTTGGGGACTCCAACACAATTATCCGTACTTAAAAGCCATAAAGTTAGTTAAAAGGACCTATTTTTGTGTTGAAAAATGTGTATGATTGTATCTTTTCTTCTATTTGTTCACGTCAGTCTTGTCCCTTAGATTATTAACTTTGGGGGATAGACTAGGTCCCTCTCAGAACCACAGAAACTACCAAACAGAGGGACAGGAAGACATCAAGGAGTCAGCCAGTTCAGGGTGTCCAGTCCTGGTACAGCCACCACTGCGGGGTAAGTGAGGTGGGTTTAGATGGAACAGGAACAACCATTTTATAATTTTTTATAGTTGTATATATTTATTAATATGTTTTAGAGAGCGCTGTAACTAGCATATGTTGCTTAGGATTTCATAGATATTATTACGAGGAGAAATATACACTTACATAAATTTTCAAAGTGAATTGCTGTAAAGACATATATGGTATGAATATCATTACTGTAGCACATGCATATAGCAAAAACTGTGAGAGTTTTTTGCAAATAACTGAGGTTTGGAAAATAGTGTTTAACCTACCACTAGAACTCACAACTGAGGAAACTGATGATCAGAAGTATCACTATGTCTCAGAGAATTTAAGACATCATGAATCATAGGATGTGTCCTAATTTCAAAGGGCCAAATGTGAGGAAATTTAAAGAGTAAATGAAATACGGAAGGTCTTGCTCAAAGTCAAACATCTATCACTGAGTGTTGCTCAGGTTATTCTCTCTTCTAAGAGCATTTCTGCTCTAATAGCCATTAAAGTTTTGACCTAAAGAATAGCATTCTCATGGTGGAATTTCAGGTATTACCTGTGGCAGGTAAGTAGGTGAAATAGTTTCAGGTAGGAGCCCTGGTATGGTCCCCTGAAATCATCCTTGTAGAAGATGACCTCTCTCCCTGTCAGTGTCCTTCAGCCAAAGACCAAGAGGAACACATCTGTAGATGAACAGGTTGGGTTCTATTACTTGTTTCAGTGAAGGAGAACTGGGGGAATCTCTCAGCAAGAGATATTAGAAAGGACTTATGAATAGGATTTGGCTTGCATTATTTGATTTTGAGGAGGGTCAAGGAAGTAGAGCCTTGCTCTGGATTAGATGCTGTGTGAAATCAAAGGTAATTCTGTGATTTGACATTTTAATAAGTCTTATCTAAAAGGTGAGAGAAATGAACAGAAGCTAAACTAGGGTTGGTAAGGAAGGAGCACTCACTCCTCATAGCCAGGGAAGGAGGATGTTGGGCCATCTTTGTGGTCTGAGCAACATTCATGTTTAGTCCATGTTCAGACATAATCACAGAGTATTCTGGTCTTTGTCTTGATCCATCATGGTCAGAGAATGGCCTTGTCTGCTTTTAGGGTTCTGTGAAACTGTTTATGTTTAACAAAAGAACAAGACCTAGCTGTGGGTGCCATAGCAACTCCTGGATTTCAAGGCTGCTTTTCTTCTCACATCTTCCTCTGTAGCTCTTTCCTGAGTCACCGTGCTCCACTTCCAGACAAGATGCCAGACACAAATTGTCAGCAAGTTAAGAGTTTTGTATTACGTTAACAAATTTAAGGTCCAATCTTGGACTCTGTGATGGCCAATGTCTTTGTTTAACTCTAAAAGAAATTGCCCTGCTGTTTTATGTCTTTGAGAGAATGTGATCTTCAGCCATCCATGACAATCAATACTCCACTTCAGCAAAGGCAGTATTGCACGTGCTCCTCGGGTACTCCTTCTCCAGTCACACACACACAAGCACGTACTATATATATATATATATAGTGACATATATGACATATATATATATATGACAAAGAATAATAGCCCTATGGAGAATTCTCGGGGATGTCTGTGCTTGGTCAATAGCATTTACTGATGGTGGTAGAAAGAGAAAACCATCTTGGGAGACAGATTTCTCGCAAGGCCTGCGATGCTAATGGCTACTGCCTCCTCAAGGCTACAGTCACTATCAACTAGGGGTAAGTAGAAGATCAAGGTAGATTTGTGATAGCCAGGGGCTGGAATATAAGGATTTGGTTTTGGGGTGATGAAAATATTCTGGAATTTGTGGGGATGGGTAAAAACACTGAAAACTACTGAATAGTACACTTTAAAGGGTGAACTTTATGGTATGTGAATTATATTTCAATTAAAAAAAAGTTACAGGAAGTGAGGAGTAAGAGAAGTCAGATAATACTTCAGAGAGACTTCTCTTATTGACCACTGTTAGATTTGCTTTGTATTTTTGTCCCCTAATCTGTGGAGCTTTCCAGATAGTCAGAAATCTGATATTTGATATGATCAAGTCACTCAGTAACAGAGTTGTTGTTAGTAATCATAACTTTCGTCTCTAAAGGTAACTAGGTGAATTGGTAATGGTGGTTAAACAAGTCCCCACACACTAAAGAAATGTAAACTTTCTCTTTGGAATAGTTTCAGCTGACCCAGGGGAGGAGGGACTATTCTGCACTTGCAATAGGAAGCTTCATTTTTAAGAAGTCAATTGTGTTTTTGGAGAGAATTTATACTTGTCTTTTTAAATATTTCATCACCAATTCCAACAAACGCCTATATCAGAAACACTTATACCAGTTGTTTCTAAGAGGATTTCTCTAAAAGCTAATAGCCAATTAAGAGTGAGAATGACAGGGGCCCCTGGGTGGCTCAGTTAGTTAAGAATCTGACTTCAGCTCAGGTCATGAAATCACGGTTCATGAGTTCAGGCCCCATGTTGGGCTGTCTGCTCTCAGCACAGAGCCCAGTTTGGATCCTCTGTCCCCCCCGCCCCTCCTCTGCTCATGTTCTCTTTGTCTCTCTCTCTCTCAAAAATAAATAAAACATTTTAAAAATATGGACAAATTTAAAAGTATTATGGGGCACCTGGTTGGCTCAGCTGGTGACGCTTCCAACTCTTGGTTTTGGTTCAGGTCATAATATCATAGTTTGTTAGTTCAAGCCCTGCATCAGTGCGGAGACTGCTTGGGTTTCTCTCTCCTCTCTCTCTGCCCCTCCCCCCCCCTTTGCATGCTCTGTCTCTGTCTCTGTCTCTCTGTCTGTCTGTCTCTCAGAATAAATAAATTAAAAAAAAAAGAATGATAAAGGTATTAGAAAGCATGTCACCCTGCACAGGTTTACAGAATGTACAAGGATGCTCATCATAAAATTTATTCACTCATTTGCTTGCATGCCAGGAATTCTGCCAGGCACTGGGTGATGCAAGGATAGAGTGGGCTCATAGCCTGCCATCAAACAACTTCAAGTGCATTGGCACAAACCGAGCATGCTTCTGTATCACCAGGGTACATGGGCTAGGCTGTATTTTTTTAAAGGTATTGTCTACTTAGGGTGATTCCACAATAGTGGAAATTAAGACATTGGAACTTGAACAAAAAAGACAAAGGATATCTTTCTTCCTCACTTAAAAAAAAAAAAAAGATGAGAAGAACCCCATCTTTCCTGGGGACCCTTCTGAATCCAGGGCTGCCTAGGTGAGATTTGTGTCTAGACAGAGCAAAAGGGCAGCCGTCAGAGCTGTACCATCCCAAGACTTGCTCGCATTTTCTTTGCATTATATTGGGTAGTTTTCTCATGTAGACAAGAGCTCCAAATAATTGCAGCCTTCCAAACATATTTTACTATGAGCACTCTTTTTTGAAAGAAATAAAATCATAAACTTCTGCATGATAGTGGTTTAAGTAGCTATTACTGAGAAAACGCATAATGATAAATTAATGCAATAACACTTTCAAAGGATTTTGCATTTGAACAATCCCAGTAGCATCTATGTACATTTGAAACAGAAAATACTGTCAAGTCAATTTACTCACAATTCTTCTTAACCATCAGATTTCCAGAGATTTGAAAGTTCTGTGACACTCTGTGTTGATGAAAATGTGGCCCAACTTCTACCCTGTGGGTGGGATAGAAAATTCAGATAGCCTTTTTGGAAAGCGATTGGGCAATATCTATCAAAAACGCGCCCAACTTTGAATCCACAAATCCATTCCTATCAAATTACCCTACACAGGTTTACAAAATGCACAATGATGTTCATCACAACTTTCCTTAGAAGAGTTTGAAATCTGGAAATAACAAACATATCCTAATTAGGACTTGCTAACCAGTCATATAATGGAATACTTTACAGTCATTAAAAAGAAGGAGGTCTGTGACAGTAAGTAACAATTCAAGATATAGAACAGCATGTATGAAGAAGATTTCATTGATATAAAGGGCTATATATGTATATGCATTATATTGAGTATGTCATGATATAAAAAGGCTATATAAGTATATTACATATACATATATGCGTGCAACAGGAACAAAATATAGTTGTTTACCCTTACACCAGGATTCCTCAAATTCAAGTAATATGTGGATTCCTTAAAGGGAAATCGTTCTTTGGATATTCACTATTAACATTTTTAACCCTAATTTTTACTTACAATAGGTGCAAGTATGGAAACCAGTATACTTTTGGTGCTTTTCGCATCAACTAGGGGATCGTATAACCTTATAGCATTAGTATAAACCCGAAGGCAATTTATAAATTAAATGCCAAAAAAATCTATATAATTAAACTCAAACTTAGAGATGTTGTTGTTGTGCTGAGGTGAGATCTCTGATGAAATATAATTGTAGAAAGAGATACCTCAGGTACAGGTCTAAATTACATCTTTTTGCATTTGACTTTGATAATACTCTTTGTATTGCTATTATGCTGTAAAAATATAAAAACCTTCATGTCTGTGTTTGAAATTCAAGATTCTCAGACCACATTTTACCAAAACTCCAAAACTATGGATCAATTTTAATGATATGACATTTGAGAACTAATTTTTCTTTGTAAAACTTTTCATTGAAATATAATTACTATACAGTGTTCTATTAGTTTCAGATATACAACATAATGATTCAACAATTCTATATATTACTCAGTGTCCACCACAATAAGTGTAGTCACCATCTGTCACCAAATAACATTGTCACAATCCTATTCACTATATTCCCTGTGCTACTCTTTCCACCTCCATGACTTATTTATTGTGTAACTGAAAGTTTGTGCCTCCTAATCCCCTTTATCTATTTCACCCATCCCCCAACCCACCTCCCTTCTGGCAGCCACCAGTTTATTCTCTGTATTTAAGTCTGGTTTTTGGTTTGTCTCTTTTTTCTTTGTTCATTCTCTTGTTTCTTAAATTTCACATATAGGTAAAATCATATGGCATTTGTCTTTCTGTGTCTGACTTATTTCACTTAGC